ATTGAAATTTGATTATTATGTTATCTTTTGTAAGATTTCTTCTCTTCACTGTAATCTGTAAAAATTAGGCTCATTCTGAAAATGTACTCTATTTTTGGAATACAGTAGTTAAACCCAACAAGATTAACAGTAAGATTAACAACAGATTGTACAGATTCAGTAAGTGAAGAAGTGTAATGTTTCTGTTGTTGGGGAAGAGGGTTGAATAATGCCTTAGTATTTTTAGCCAAACACAGAGATAAATTAGTAAATCTTTCCAAGCAGAATGAGAACATACGACTCTGAGCTAAGGGAAACCTGATGAGGTCCAACCAAGTGGCTTTTCCAATGTGCTTCTCTGGAAAGAGACAATTCATAGTCTAAGGCTGCCTTCTTCCCTTCTGACGATGACTCAAATCCAGACAGCTTATTCAAAAGCAGATTTCTAAACTGAAGACCTTCTCCCTCAAGGAACAATCATCAGTGAAGCTGATGCAATTCTCAAATGTAGACAAAGTCACTCAGTCTTTGGTCTCATTTCAGCTGCTGCACTTGGAACTGGGACAAACATGGCAACAGCAGAGAAACTAAGAGAGTTACTGAGGAAAAAGGATAAATTAGAATCAAAACAGAAAATAGTATCATAAAAATTTGTTTAATAATATTAAATGATCCAAAACTGTTAAGTTAGGCAAGTTGCGTACTGTGCAACTAGTATAACTAAATTCCCAAGTATCAGAAAATAAACATTATGGTCCACGCACCCATAACATAAATTTGTTATGTGTGGAGGATTGACCCTGGCCAGCAATTCAGCACCCACCAGCCACTCCAGAAGAGCAAAAGTGAGAAAAAAACTCTTGGGATGAGATAAAGACTATTTAATAAGTGAAGGGGGAAAAGGGGAATAAAAGTGACTCGAAGGCAATCACTCTTCAGCTGCCACCAGCAGACTGATGCCCAGCCAGTCTTTGAGCAACAGCCACCTTAGAAAGAGTAGCCCCTATCCTTACTGCTAAGCATGACACCATATGGTCTGGGATACCCCTTTGGTCAGTTGGGGTCAGCTGTCCCAGTTGTGTCCCCTCCCAACCTCTTGCCCACTCCAGCCCACTGGCTGCAGGGGAAGTGAGAAACAGAGAAGACCTTGACACTGTGCAAGCACTGTTCAGCAATAGCTGAAACGTCCCTCTGTTATCAACACTGTTCTCATCACAAATCTAAAGCACAGCATCATACCAGCTGCTATGAAGAAAATTAACTACATCCCAGCCAAAATCAGTACATGATGTAAAACAGCCTCTGCATCAGGCAAAATCCTCTTGATAAAGAAGCAAATAACCTGTTTTTTGCAGATCATGTTCAGTTCTGGTGCATACAAACGATTACTGTGTTCTCCTGTCTTCTTTCTTGAGCTCACTCTCCTCTCTATTTAATCAGCAATCTTTGGCAACACTTCTGAAGTGAAATCAGATTTTGCAAAGAGATAGCTGAGTGCTATTAAATCAGAAACTTGGACTTCAAGCAATCCTTCCAAGTGCAGTCTCAAAAGGGTACAAGCAATACCTTCTCCCCAAACACATCTTTTAAGGACTGACAAAAGTGCATGACACGGTGCATGAAAACAGCTTAGATTCAACGATCTGAGAAGAACATCTAAAGCTGCTACCAGCAGACTATGCAAACCCATCTCATTTGACATATAGGTATATTTAACTTCTCTAGATGTATTAGAATATCCTGATAGCCAAGAGTCATAAACTTTATACTTAAAAACATGTTCAGCGTAACCACCATCACACATGTAGCAGGCATTGAACACTATTTGAAATCCATCCTGGAGGGTGATCATCAGTTTAAGAGCACTGTAGGTGTTGCGCTGGGAAAAACTGATTACACTTCATCAGAACATCTGGTTTTTTGTAAAATGGGGATGTTAGGTAGGCTATACACCAAGGACGCTATATTCAAAACCACCTACACCTGGGCAGTACAGCATAATTTATACCCAACCTGTCCGTAAGGTATCTCAAACTGCATCATAACCTGAGGCCAAAACCAGATTTCAGAAAACTTCAAATGATACTTACATCATGCAAATGAAGAAATCTCAACTCTTTAAGTATTGCTTTCAACAGTTCTCCAAGAGGAAGTTAAATGTGACATAAATATTAACAAATATTATTATTATAAAACAGAAAGGTATCCACTAAAACAGTATCTAGAGACATCACAGATTTGGAAAAGCACCAGTTCTTTCTAGGACAGAAGCCAAACTCTTCCATCAAGCAGATGAAATTTATGCAGCTTTTCCAGACCCACACCAAAACCAGCTTTGAATAGTTTTATTTTTGTTCTTCTACCTTAAGAAGAAGTTCTGCCAATGGGAGCATCATTGCTTCTCCTTATTCTTTCAATTTTGACATTGCTGAGGCACAAATCAGGATTTCATTTAGTGAAGTTTGGCTCTAACACAGAATCACTGACATCCAATTTTGCAGTATATCTGAAGTTTGTGAAGTGCAAACATAGAAACATCTATCATACCCATGGGCTCCAGCCACTGCAAAAAGCCTTCTCTGAAAGGCTTTGTGTTAACTCGACATTTCTATGTTTGGCATTGCTTGTAATTAAAGCCACAATAATGGCACAGTGAAGAAAGGGTATGTGCTGAGAAAAGGAGACTGGGACCATTTCAGCCTTTCAAGATGAGCAACAGGACACTGAAAAGACTTGGTGTACACTACTGCTATTGTGCCCTTTGGTATTGCGTTGTTTAATATTAAGGCAAGAGTCTCTTTCCAGAAGTAAAAAACTCAGTGCTCAGAGACATTTGGGCTGGAAAAAGGGATACAATACTAAGAGCACAACTCTGAAGAAACATGGATATTTCAGTCCCCTGCCCCTCCTCTTCCACAAAAACAACCCTAAAGTTTCAGTCTGTGACCTTATTTCCCCTCTTCCCAGCATATGACCTCCCCACTCAGTCAGGGATGGCCAGGTCTGGACCCGTGTGCCAAATATGCACAGCCCAAGTGTGGTGCCTGCACTGCGGTTACGGCACACAACTGGCAGCAAAGCTAGGCTGGTTTGCCTGCTGAGTTAGCTTCACCCTTGGCTGGGAAAACATCATCTCTCCGGGACTCAATCTCATGAGCTTTGCTCATGTGGGCACATCTTTCTAATGGGACTTACTCCTGCTATCTTTAATGTTAGCAAGTGTTCCTGGATCAGGCCCTAAATCATACACATTTTTAAGACAGAACTTAATGCATCGAAACTTAGTAACACAATTTTTATTTTTACGTAAATCGTGTGGCCCAATCTTTTATTCACTTATGCAATTTTTTTGAAAGCACTTAAGCAGATTGATAATTACCACCCAGAAACCACGTAATTTGCCTGTACAGAAGCAATCGGACCAAGAAATCTCAAAAAATCATCGTACTGGATTCAGGTACTGCACAACCTGGTAAATCCACTTACAATACAAATGCATCAGTCTCACATATGATAATTTATCGTGTCCTCACATAAACATTTCATCATCAATACCGATCAAAAAGCTTCTTTTGTTTTTTGCTTATGACATGCCTGGCAAGCTCCACAGATAGCAAAACTCTCATTTGAGTGATGCGGAGATCACTAAGAAAGCATAACATGTTTTTCTGCTTTCATTCAGCAGAGTAACAACAGAAACGCAGGAAAAAACCTTAAAGAACTTTATTTTACCATAACTCCATTTCTCCAGTGATGCCCTCAAGAAGGAAATGGCTGATGAGCTCCCAAAAATGCAGATCCACAGCCTAAGCCTCAGCGACATCTCCAGGGACTATGCAATAAAAAGCAGCTGATGCCTCAACACAGATCAAGCTATACAGCAGGTCCTGATGTCAGATGCCGGCTGGGACATGATGAGGGGCAAGGGATTTCTTTCTGGATGATTTTTAGCTCTACTTCTCAAAACAGGCTTCCATCAGAAGGCTTATCATAAACATTAAGCAGAGAGGTATGCAAAGTTGAATTAACTATATGCTCCTTTCCTGAAAACAGTCATGAATTCTCAAATCTAAATCTACAGATGAGCATCCCCACTGACATTAATACAGCTACTAACTTAAGTAAGCTGCAGGCATTAACCTTTTCAGAGTTCACCCAAAGGAACAGTCTTAAAACGCCTTGATTCATCTATTTATTGTGCACCACCAGAGAACAATCCAGGTATGAGGTGGGACTGCAAAGTATCTTAGACTCTACTCACAGATGCTTAACTTTCAGTTTAGCAGGCTAAATCTGAACTGAACTGCTCGTTATTCAAAGGCCATCCTGCGGCCAACATACAAGATTTATGTATAGTTTTACAATAGTACACTAGTATTGTGTGTTTGCAGAATGATGGTTTTTGTGAGGAAGAGCAACAGTTAGCACAAAAGCCAAGAGATTGTGCAGAGGACTTTGGCTCTCCCTGCTAGAGTGGGTTTCATTTCATAGGATTATGCTAAATTGGAAAGACACAAATTATAGAGGCTTCTCTTCTGATTAAGTAGCTTGTTGCTCCCTGATACCAAAAGAGCTGCTCAAATAATAAATCATTACTCATTACTCAGTATAGCTAACAATACTAGTATCTAGTCTATAGCATTTACTTCATGGGGAGAGAGAATGGGAACAGGCAGCAGTGAAAAGAGGAACTAAATGTTATTCAAACAGTTGACTTTTAGGTTGCATGAATATCTGAATACCATGGGGGAAAAAAAAAAAAAAAAAAAAAAAGGAAAAATCTTCCTGTGGGAGCATGTTTCTAATTCAAGACCTCAGCTACACTAACTTGCCCCTTTGACACTGATCAGATTTTTTTTTTTAAAGAACTTAATTGGAGAGATAATTCTTTTAGTTTATTAATGCGCTGCATATCTGATTCATTCCATTTAATAGGCCTATCCCTTTGACAACTTATGAATCAATACATTCATCCCACAGTAATTTATACAATGGAGCTAAGCATCTATACAAGGTATTACCTTCACAGTAGGCATTGTCCTCTCGAAGGGCTCGGAAGCCATCTCTGCAGCTACAGACAGCTCTGTCATCTAGGTTTCGGCAGACAGAATGCTCCATACAGTTATGCCCTTCAGTGCAAAAGTCATGGCCTGTACAGAAACAAATATGATTGAGGATTAAAAAGAATCCAGGGATCATAAAACATCCCTGCCAAAGACAGTTCTATCTTTTTCTCAGTTAGGTCAAAGAATACCTTTCTATTGTCTGCAAGATATAAAAAAAATAAATTGTACCAAGCATGAATCGGATGAAAGGAGCAGTAAAGGCCACAAGAACAGACTGTCTCAAGGTCTTTGATTCAATTTCAGGTTATGGCATTGATCTAAGGCAGCTGGATAGGAGGCTTGCTTAAATCCCCTTACTGTCTCCTTGCCATTGTTAAGTACTTTTACAGAACACTTCTTACATATTTTTCTTCATTTTCTTTTTTTGTTTGTTTGTACATTTATAAAAGAGCTCAATAGTTTAGGCACTCAGTAGCTCACTTACTAGTGGTATTCCTTTTTTTCCTAGCACTTTATGTTCCCAGGTGTATTTATAAAATCCTTCCACATTTAACTGAAAGTTTTTGATTAACATTGACTTCTTTTGCTTTTCTCCTCCCCTTATCTCTTCCTTTCAAGCTCCACTGACTGAATACTCTTCCTTGATTGCATCACCCTTCCAATTTCTGATAAATTTATTTTTAAAATCTCATCTTTTAGCCACCCCTATTTCCTATTTTTTTCTTTTTTTTCCGCCTTCCATTTTCCACTGCACCTTAATTACAAATTTTTAAGATTCTGAAGTTCTTTTCCGGGTTAGAAAATTTAGATTGAACCTTTCAACTCAGTACTTTGTTTTTTAAAAAAAATTCCTTCTGTTTCCGCTCATGAAATCTAATGCTGCTATGTTGCTAAACACCATTAAATCATTCTTTATTATGCTGAATTCAAGCTTGAAGCTTCCACAATTTCCACATCTGTCTATAAAGGTGTCCAGCTTCTCTCCTTCGTTGTTTTCTCAATAATTTCATTTGTTTAAAGTTTTCTTCTTTAATTGAAGCATTAGAATTGATCAAGCAGTAGTACTTCACTGTTGTTTCCCAATAACTATTTTCTTTTCTCAAAACCTCCCACAGGAGAACTGAGGAACGTGGTTCAGGCTCAGGGGACCAGGACTGGTGTAACAGCAACAGCTCCAGAATGTAAGCTGGAATCAGGCTGCAATACAGGTTTCTTACAAAATAACAAACAAGTATTTGTTGCCAGCAAAGATTATTATTTTTATCACTCCACCTGGCTTCTGCTTCATATTTTGCTATGAAAGAGCTTCTACCCCTAATGTCACAGACACTAATTTAAATGAGCACTTCAAGCAGGACAATGGCATAGTCAGCTTGGAGGTCAGGTCAGAGGTGTTTTGTGCTTAGGCAGCTCATGAGCAGTGTGAAGCAACACAAACCAAGCAAAACAAGACAACAGAAACAGGAAAGCCCATAAAGGCAGAATGTTTTAGTACTGAGACCCAGTGACATGGTCATAATGCAAACATCACAAATCTACTATGATATGAGAGACTGATGTTTTTCTTTCTCTCTTTCTTTCCTGCTCTCTCTCTTTCTTGTCTCCGTGTAACCTAGAGAGATGCTTAGGTAATGTTACTTAAATATTATAATCCACTGTAGCTACCACAGTGCTGTTAATCTATCATGATGCCTTAAAAATTAAAAAGCTCTACACTTTTACTAGCATTAGAAGGTTTTCAATACTCATTGATGATAGCAGAATTGTGTGTGTCAAGAGCAAGCTCTGGCCATGGCGACATCTACTCTTTGTCTTTTTGTGATCTTTCTCATTGAAGCCTGAGTTAATGACAAAGCAATAGTCTTATTTGGTTTTATTTTCTGGCCTGGATTGGTTTGTATCAGATTTTGGCATTAAATAACTAAGAACATAGATGTCAGCCAGAAAGAGTGAGGGTTTTTTAACTGATTTTTTGTTATTCTTAAGATTCTCAACACTTATGTATCAGCTATATTACCAAACAAAATACGTGTTGCTGAATAATAGCCTACAGCAGCTTCTTGTTTAAAGAATAAGCTCCATAGCCTATGGGAGGCCAAGCTGGCATGGTTCAGGGAGGACTGAAAATGTTCAGAAAGCTCTCGTTGAACATACATTAAAATTTTCTAGCTATACCAGGCACAAGAAACACGGAATTATTTTCTCTAAGCCACTGAAGATTTTACATAAAATTATCATTAAAGAAATACTTTTTGACTGTGATAGACTTCAAGACCTATCAACTTCTCTTAATTTCTTTTTTACTTTCTTATCTCTCTGCTTGATGTCATTTCTTCGTGTTTGCACAGAGTAGCACAGAAACATCTATAGCTGCACTGTTTCTTTTCACTGAAGTATACCTAAAATCAGCCCAAGAGTCTAACATCTTCTTTCATGCCAGGTATCAATTTATCTGATTTAGCTGTAGAAGAAGCATAAGTGGCCACTTGAAGATGCAATTGCTCATAGCTTTGAAGATCCCGGTATTAGTCCAGATCAAAAGAGTGGGCTCAAGACACAAAGCACTTCCTGCACCTTTCTCCTTTGGTAAGGATCAGACTGGATGTGATACACAAAGGTGCACAGCATAGAAAGATATTCCCCAAAGCTTCTGCCTCTAGATGCAGGCTACAACCCCAAATGAGTAAACAAGTTACTTCAGTCTTTGAACAGCAACATAGCACAAATAGTTCTCTGAAAGAGACGCATCACAGCATCTCAAAAAGATGTTGGTGAATATGGACATTTCTTCAATCTCATTTTGTATGGCCACTGGAGTGGGTGAAGGGTAGAAAGTCACTAATTATGAATATGACTTATTTGACTTTTCAACCATATTTGGCTAGAACGAAACACGTAAACAGAATTTACACTATTAGACATTTTACAAGCATTTTTCAGATGTCACAATGCAGATGTTATCTATTCAGCTTTCCAAGATCTACAGTGAGTGACCTATTCAAAATGATCAGAAAAAAGTCTATATAATTTATATACATATCCAGCTATTACCTTACCTTTACAGATTTTGCAGCAACTGTGAGATAAAGGGATCTGTTGAGATTCTGGGCAGTTCAAAGCTGTACAACTGTCTTTTGGAATACGCTGCATTTTGTGGTCCTGTTAAATTGAAGTAATTGATTAATATTGTGATGTAATAAGGATAAATGATAACTTTAGTGGAGTTTTAGCACTCTAATGTACAAACAAAAAACAGCCAATGCCAAACTCCAGGTACCTTTGAAAAACATTTCAAAGGATAATGTAGCACAATAAAAGTATCAGGAACTCCCCTATATGCAGACCATTTCAAGCAAGCAAAAGTATGGCAACAGCTCTCATTCTTCTCTTATCTTAGCTGTCAAGCAACTTGCCTCAGAAGTTTCTCTTAAAATTATGCCTGAAGGAATAACACTTATTTTACAAAAACTGAGGCAGCAGATGCCAGAATCAAGGGTCCTCGTATTGAATACTCTAAAGCAGCTTGTTATGTACACAGTAAGTAAGATCAAACTTGAACATCTCTGATCTCAATGCTGTGGTAGCAACACTGAAGGAAACTGACACTGATTCCCCATTAGGAAAAAAACAGCTTCTCAGCTAAGTTTGGACCAGGCATCTGGAAACATCCAATGCTACAAGATAGTATCTGAATATCTTCAGGCACTTAGTGCAGATCACACGCAGTGATTGCAGTGTGACCACATGAAACACTTGCCTTAGCAATTCGGCTATCACAAATGTACCACCCTTTAGGCTCCCTCAGGCCCTAATAAACATGTCTTCCAGTGCTCTAGTAATGATATGGCAAAGATGGAAAACAAGGCAAACAACATCATGTTCCTCGGAGTCATCTGCCTTAAAATCAGCAATCTGGTTAAGATAAGAGCTCACTGAATTCAGGGCCCTGTATTTCTGCATGCAAGAAAAGTGCTTTAAATCATGCATGTGCCATTGCATGTGTTATTACTATGGGTCTAACATTTAATTTTAAATCCTCTTTAAGCATGAAATATAAAGATGAAACATGAACACAATGGCCAAGATCAAAATTACTGCTCAAACTTTACCTTAATCTTGACAGAGAAACCAACCCTAACATGATAATACAGTAAAGCAAACCAGTCACAGATGTGTTGCATGCCAGGACAAGCAAAACCCATCAATCCCACAAAAAAAAGAAAGAAAAAAAAAAACAAAACCAAAAAACCCCTCTTTGATAGAAATAATATCAATTAGAGCAGTCTGGATTGCATTTAATTCTTTTACAAATTCTAATTTGGAAGAGAATTTTTCATTCACTTGTTTTATAATATTCAAACAGAAAAGTGTGTGCCTACAGCAGGTACAATTGCAGCAGACAAAAAAAACAAAAAAATGATGTCCAGAATTACATGCAGACAAAAAGAAGACATTTCCTACACTGCCTTGATAGCACCATTATAAGCCTTCAAATATGAAATAAGCGCCATTCCTATGAATTCTCTCTTGAGCTGGAGCCATTAATTATATCCTTTTATGAGAAGTCTTGTAATAATAAAATAGTGCCCACCTATGACTTCCTAACCATATCAACACAGTTTACCATACATGGATTTTCTGCTCTGAATTATCATTCACAAGGTTGCTCAGCAGAAACTGTACATACTTTGGGCCTTGAAAAAGTAGCATTTGAATCAGCAAAGGTTGCTGCTTAATTTTTCTGCTGGGACAGTCAGACAGCCCACCAGCAAACAAGTATAATCAACAAAATACAAACTAGTGCCGCCAACAGAAGTATTTTGTTCATACAGCAGCGCACTAGTCAGCTGCAAGAAACATGAGGCAATATCACATAACTTTTGATGGTTATTAATTATATTCGTTAACTAGTCACAGAATTCATGTCCTATCACACTGAAAACAGGAGTTCACAGTCCTGAAAAGCATATGACTGACTACAAAATTATTTCTGGTGAGCTTCTCCTTTCCTTTTTCAAAAGGGTTTCAAAGCATCTACTCCAGAAATTAAGCTCACAAAGATTAAAATCAACAACAGTAAGACAACAGTCCCCAGTTCCACTTTGTGAAACCCACTTTTTCACAACTGCGTGAAAATGTTTTGAGGTTTCCATAAACTGATCCAATAGATCGCTGCAGCATGGCTAGAGGAGTTGCTCCTCTCTCTTTCTCTGCCCTAGAAATGTGTCCTCAGGTTTTCAACTCCACCCTACAGCACGCAGCTCTCTAACCGGAGGGGATTCCTCCCTATCCCACCCCCAAGACGCACTGCAGCAGTTTGTGTAATTCTCAGCCCACAGGCATCCCTGGGGTATATTTTGCCCTTACAGTGCATTTATGCCCTGAAGAGCAACTCTTCACACAGCAGGACTAGACTGTCTCAGCATCAGGTGTGTTCTGTTTTACAAATAAAGCAATGACCCCCGCCCCACTTCTATCACTAGAAATACCAGACACCTGGTGTGCCATCTCTGTTCCTTCTTTTTCATCTAACTTTTCCTCTAAGAATTATCCTGAATTCCAAATTATGCCCCCATCATGTTCATGTATCTCTCCTACCTGAGCACATAATTTTGAACAGTAACATTGTACATGTGTCAATGGAAACATAAGGTAGTCTGCTGGTTTTTTGTTACTGAAGATGGAGACGATACCTAAGGAGGAAACAATGCAGCTTGATTGTAATCAAAGCTTGCAGCTATGCAAAGTAAATTTATTTGCAAAATTTGGTGTGGAACTCAGCAAGACTAAATAAACACAGAACCTCTTAGATGCCTTTTCTTTTGACACTTCCCAAAGTACACCTGTGTGTATTTCAACAGTTTCTTTCAGTGAGACTTTGATATTTTTAACATGCAAGAATATTTTTTTCCATCAACAGTATTCTTACCTTGCACTCAAACAGAACACAGTCCCCTGAGCTGGAATACACCGTTTCTCTTTGTCCTTCAAAGTAAGTTCTGCCTTCAAATATACACACCGCTTCAGGAGAAAATAAAAACAAAAATTAAAAAAACACAATGATTTTGTAAAAAAGTGTTAGTACTCTGCTTATAGAACTGATACATTTTCTTAAAGATACCTGCATTTCAAAATTAAAAGATTGAATCAGTTGCAAGAATATTCTAAACCTTCCTGTAGGAGTCTGGATATAACAAGAAAAAAAAATCAGAATGAGAAAAAAAACCATGAAAGAACCAGAAAAGCACACATAAGTAGAAGGTGAAGGATGTTGAAGCAATATGGAGTACTGATGGCCACTGAGAGGGCAGAAGAGATGTGTCTTGGGTCACACCAAGGAAGCTATGGCTGCCTGCCACACAGCTCAGGGGCACAAAGGAAAGCAGAGCTGTGAGAGCAGTGCAAGTGGCATTAATAGTTTCCTGAAGATGAATGTTGTATGATGGAGGGTGATCACTGAAGCCACATATTTATTTATTATCACAGTCCTTTGATGTTTCATCACCCCACACAGGTATTTATATATTTGTATCTTGATTATCTGGTTATTTACCATTACTGCTGAAGTACATGACAGTATATGAATCTTATTGTAGAAGAACTGACCTTCTGTGACTGTCTTTTTTTTTTTTTTTTTTTTTTTCCCCCCAACAGAAGTAGGATCAAGTCTCTGACGATCAAATGACAGAATGACCTCCCCTCAGGCTCAGTGTTTGTTATACCATAACCTGGCCCGGTGCCACTCCTGCTCCTTGGCAGTACCGGGTTTTGCAGCAGCTTGCTGACACACTACTGTACCGGATTGTTCACTGAAGTTCCTATTTGGTATTTAAGGGTTACATAAAAAATCTTCAGAGCAAATTGTCTTACTTTTTTTTAAAATTGGTCCATTACTGCAATTACATTATGCAAAGTATAAAGGCTAAGCAATGTACCTGCTAGGTATAGAAAATCAGATGTCTGTCTCTGTTGCTTAGGTCATAGTCAAGGCTCATCAAGCAAGCATAATCATCAAGTAACAGGAGTCGGTTACCACTTTCAAGTTCTAGATTACATGTTAGAGGTCTAATTTGCTAATCATTGATTTGGAGATGTAAATCAATTATATTACAATTCATTCAAGGAGAGATTTATCTATCTGTTTAAACAGCCTACAATTTGTAGACAATTTAAAAATCTCTAAAAGTACAAGAGTTTTTATTCTGTGACCTATATTAATTAGCATTACTGCTGTTATTTTCAATTTTCCTTTACTTTTTTTTTTTTAACTTGTAGCTCCTTGGTTTTACAAACTTCTTATTCCTTTGTCAGCATGTAAAATGTCAACTCTTGGAACTGATGTTGAAAAAGAAGTGATGGGCATAGTGACAAAAAAGATTTTTTCAAATTCCAAGATGTGAGTTACAGTATCTTATAAAGTATCTTGTGTCATATAAGCCTGCACAGCACTTCCAAGAAGAAACATCACAGCACTTTGCAACACTCCAAATCCCACAAACGGCAGAGTTTGCAGTCAGATTTAATAAAGAAAGCATGGAAAAGAGCCACAAGAGAGAGTCCAGGGGAGAGTCCTATGGCTAATAGGTGGAGAAAGTTTGTACAACATCCACAAAGAAAGGTCACAAAGAGTCAAAAAAGCTCAGTACAGTGCCTCTTTCCTCTACCAGAAAACAAGCTCTTCTTCTAGAAGTAAGTATGGCCGGGGGGGAGGGGGAAATCTATAAATCTCTACTGGGGACTAGCAGATCTTCAGTCCAGATTGGACAAGGCAATCATTCAGTCATATATATCACCTCCTACATATTACAGGCCATGACACTAAACTGAAATAGTCATATATTAAGCCCTTTCCATTGCCCCATACATTTCAAGCTTTCAAGAACAACAACACGTGACAGGAAAAGACCAAGTATAGCAATGCCTGAGGACCATGCAATGGCAATGGACTGACAACCTAACATATCCTCATGTTTCCGACAGGCAGACTATGCCTGTTCACAGGAAAGGCAAAAGACATCAAGATCACTGTCATTCTGTCCTGGAAGAACACTCTTCTGAAGCCAAAATACTCTTAACATATGACTAAGACCATCCAAGAAACTTAAAAAAAAAAACCCATCCATACTACCTCAAAGCATAGTCCAATGAATCCAGTTGCCTTATTAATGGTGACAAACCTCTCATTCTTCAGAGAAACATAGAAAATAATGTACACAGAATAACCTTCAAAAGATCACACCTAGCCTAGTGGGAAAACATTATTTCTTGATTCCACCAATAGCCTTCAGAAGTCTTGGCATATGGAACCATCGAGATGCAGTGATGCACTACTGCAAATGCTTTCTGCAAGAAAATCAACTCTTCTCCATAAAGCCTCGGAAAAAATAAAAACTTATAAATTCTGGGGCTGCGAGACAGCTCTGCCTAGACAGCCCTTGCTCCTTTCCCGTGTGTCTTCATACACTTGAAGATTGTTTCTCAAAGTAGCAGCAGAGAGCATGATGCAAGACATTTGCTCACATGGGTCCCAGAAATTTCAAGCAGTGCTCACATCCCCCCCTTCACAACCACAACAACTTTCAGCTAAGAAAATTACATCTCATTCATTGAATTCCCCTAAATAAACATTTCCAACTACTGGATTTAGCTGTGGCTTTGTCACCAAGGCTACAAAGCCCTCGGGTATCAGACACCTGCCTATATAGTGATCAAACTATATTTAAGAAAAGAGAGGAAAAAATTATAAATGCCTAATTGAAAAACTAAATTGGAACTAAATTGAAAACCCATTAAAATGAATAATCTGAACATAAGCCTAAGTATGTCTTCTTACGGACTGCTGCTCTCAGTGACTACGTTCAAAAGCAACATTACTTCTTGAAACCATAAAAATCAACTTTACGTGGATTATTTCTTTTGTACTAGTGTTCTCTAAACCTGACAGATTCCACCATACTTGTGCAGTTCCTTCCATTAAAAAGCAGCAAGAACTAAGGTACAATCTGAATGTCCAGTTCAAAGCACTATCACTTAGTTTTTCTCTTCTCACCTGTGCTAGTGAGCTTACAAAAAACACATAGGCTCTTCATCTACACCAGTACCACTGGCTCAATGTTTACTTAGCAAGACAGATACCAGTGTTTTTGGCCATGGTCTAAGTTTGCCAGTGCAGATTGTCTTTTCTTCACCAGTACTCCCATAAATGCTTCTGTCTCCTTCCTGTACTCTTGACAGCCCACTCTTCTGCTGCTGCCCAGAGAGGAGGCATCCTGCCAGACAGAAAAGGGCAGATTTTCATCAGGCCACCCGAACACCTCTAAAAACTCTCAGGCTGTCTGGTTAGGTAAGCATTGAGCACACTTGGAAATATTTCTAGTAAGACAAAGCTACTAACTTTCTTCCGTCCTTCTTTCCTCCTAAGACAGCAGGACCCATGTCCCAGGCAGTGTGGAACAGATCATTTCTCCCACCTCCTGCCAGCAGCTGTCATAGCCAGTACACATCCCATGATGGTGGTGTTTCATGTCTTTATTTTCCTTCAGAAATAAAGATATATCAACAACATGAACATCTGGACTAGAACTGTGTAATTGGAAAGTCCAGTGAAGATTTAATTTCTGCTTGGCTCAATACTTCCCAGGATACTGTGATTAGTTTGTGATTGGTATCTCTCTGGGGAAACATATCATCTTTCATCTTCCTAAGTCCTTTCATTTGACAGACTGAGTCACAATCAAGAAATTACCTGATGATTAGTTGTTCCAGAACTTGGTAGTTATTGCCTGTGTAGGATTTCATCTGCAGCTGAATTACATCAACCCTTTCCTCTTGCCATCAAAATTCCCCATCCCCCCAGTACCTAAAATAACATATATTATTCAAAGCATGGTTTCCCAAGAAGATGAAACAGGAAGTCTACAAAACCTGCTACGAAGTTTGAGTGCTCCTGATATATTTGTATACAGAAGATGATCAAATATTATAAAGATAGGCATCAGTACGGGATCTAAAAAATTATTAGCAAGGTCTGCTTATATCCTCACTACTAATTTACGCAGGTGTAGTTATAATACAACTATTCTCTATAGTATCATTTAACACATTGTGATGACATGGCATCTTCTCCATATTTATCCAGCAAAAATCTTTCACGAGCCTGCTGGCTGTTTTGTTCGCTCAGTAAATTACCAATCGTTTGTCAAACTATCATGACTCTTTCACAATTCTTTTTTTCTTCCCACTGTCCTCCAAAGGACACTTTCCTTCTCTATTTGTTAAAATGTCCATGCAAAATCCATGACCCAGCTAACTCCAGCCTTCCCTTCACTGTGTTCACAGGATGTCATTTAGTACATTTTCTCACTTCCATATTTATCATCTTTGCTATCTAGATTGTGTATGCCTTTCTCTGAGGAATGCATGCATAGTTCCCTGGGGTATCTAAGTTGATTTTGATTCAGACTTCTCACCAAGCAAAAGCAGAAAGTTTAGGACACTGGTGAACTCCTCTAACCTTTTTATTTTCTTGTATTCATAATTGCCCAATGAGTGGCAGATACGACTTGAAGTTTTGTGAAATTTGTCAGTAATTATGAATGTAACTTTAAATCTGGTAATTAACTCTGTGTTGCTGCATTCTTTGTTCACTTATGCTGGTTTGTGGTGGTGGGGAAGACACCCAAAATTAGCATACACAAAAAACGCCTGTCTTGTTCATTTAATTTTCCAACCTCCTCCTTGGAATCTCCTTGATTATATTTTCCAGTGTTCAGAGATCAAGGCTTAGACATTGTGTAAAACCCATTAATCCTACTTCGCAAGCTTACATAGTGCAAAACCTCTGTGGCTTTATCCTTAGAAGTGCACACAGAAATAATGGTCACCTTTCATTAGTTTCTCACTCTCAACTGCCATGCCATTACTAGGCAATGTTCTCAGCCCTTTCTCATTTATCTTTGAAGGGATTTGGGCATTATTTCTTCTTCACTCATTTTGTGGAGACCACAAGTTCCTCTGTTACT